ACATCCCTGCACAATTCCATTTGTGGCATTCTTCTTTTAACCTTTCTGTCATCAAACTACTTTTGAAGTTGGTATATTAGTTCACTGTTTTTTCTACTTTTGTTCCACTGTGATGGCAACTGTGAGCATCAGAAATTGTGTCTAGACTATTCATTAGTGTTCCCTCAAGCTCAGTGAGTATTTGCAGAATGAATGATGAGCCAACAGAAAGTGTAAGTTTTTCTCTACAGGTGATGGCATGATTTGTGCAATAAACTGGAAGGAATATTAGTACTTCTAAATCAATAAAAAGGCTTACAATAAATTGTTCTAAAAACAATGCTCATTTTATCAAATGTCCTTATTTTTACTTTTTTTAAGAGAGAGTGTGTGTGTGTGTCTGCATGTGTCTACGTGTGTGTGTGTGTGTGTGTGTGTGTGTGTGTGTGTGTGTAATATATAATTGGAGATCAGAAGACAACTTGCAGGAGTTGACTTTCTCCTCTACCATAAAGGTCCTGGAGATCAAACTCGGGTCATCAGGTTTGGGAGCAAACACCTTTACACACTGAGCCATCCTTACAATCCAAATGTCCTTATTTTTAATAATCCAATATAACAGAATGTAATTTAGGAGAATGAGGAAAGGATTTCTAATCTCCTTAGCTTGAAAGGCTAACCACTAATTTTATTAATTAAAGCTGAAATATTTTTCAATTCAATAAAAGTGTTATGGTTATTGTTGAAAACAACCATTTGGACAAATTTTAGGCAAAAAATTACATAGTTCTGCTTTATGGCACTCAACTTTTAAACTAACCATTTGTGCACAGGTTATAAAAGTCATTAAATTGTTTCCTTTAAAAAAACATACATGGCTGGGCATGGTGGCGCACGCCTTTAATCCCAGCACTCGAGAGGCAGAGGCAGGTGGATCTCTGTGAGTTCGAGGCCAGCCTGGTCTACATAGTGAGTTCCAGGACAGCTGGGGCTACAGGGAGACCCTGTCTCAAAAAAACCAAAAAAAAAAAAAAAATACCATACCTTTTCAGC